TGATTTGAAAAAGAGAAACCAAATTGGAGAATTAACAATACATGATCTCAAGACTTATTATAAAGCTACAATCATCAAATGTGTGGGATATTAGCATAAGATCAATGAGTAGAATAGAGAATCCAGAAATAGGCCCACACATATACTGTCAATTGATTTTCAGCAAGAGTGTTAAAGTAATGCAAGGGGGAGAAGATAGTGTTCAAAAATGGGGCTGGAAACGAGTGGATATCCAAATGGAAAACAATGATCCTTCACCTCTACTTACACCATAACAGGAAGCACAAACCACAAGGCAACAAAACTGACAAACTGGACTTCATCAAAATTAAAAGTGTCTGCTGTTCAAGACACCAGTGAGAAAACTAAAAGGCAAGCCACAGACTGTGAGAACATATTTGCAGTACAAATATCTGGCAAAGGACTTTCATCCTGACGATACAAAGAACTCAAAACTTTTTTTTTTTAAGATTTTATTTTTCCTTTTCTCCCCAAAGCCCCCAGTACACAGTTGAGTATTTTTAGTTGTGGGTCCTTCTAGTTGTGGCATGTGGGATGTCACCTCAGCATGGCCTGATGAGCGGTGCCATGTCCACACCCAGGATCTGAACCAGCAAAACCCTGGACCGCCGAAGTGGAGCGCACAAACTTAACCACTCGGCCACGGGGCCAGCCCCCAAGAACTCTTAAAACTTGATAAGATATGCAACCCATTTTTTTAAGGGCAAGAGATTTGAACAGACACTTCACAAAAGAAGATATACAAAGGACCAATAAAATAAGCACAAGAAGATGCTCAACACCATTCATCATTAGGGAAATGCAAACTAAAGCCACAATGAGCTCCCACTACACACCTATGAGAATGGTTAGACTTTAAAAGGACAACAATGGGGCCGGCCCCGTAGCACAGCGGTTAAGTTCGCACATTCCGCCTCTCGGTGGCCCAGGGTTTGCCGGTTCAGACCCCGGGTTCGGAACATGGCATCGCTTGGCAAAAAGCCATACTGTGGTAGGCGTCCCACATACAAAGTAGAGAAAGATGGGCACGGATGTTAGCTCAGGGCCAGTCTTCCTCAGCAAAAAGAGGAGGATTGGCAGCAGTTAGCTCAGGGCTAATCTTCCTCAAAATAAATAAATAAATAAATAATAAAAAAAATAAAAGGACAACAATACTGAGTTAAAGAGAATATGGAACAACTGGGAATGTAAAACAATAATACCATTTTGGAAAGCAGTTGGCACTTTCTTATAAAGTTAGACACATACTTCAACCAACCATTTCCATCATTTCAACCCAAGAGAAATAAAGCATATGTCCACATAAAGACCTCTATACACGAATGCTCACAGCAGCTTTATTCACAACAGCCAAAACTGGAAAGAAGTGAAATGGCTACTAGCAGGTATATGTATAGACTAGATGGTGGTCTGTCTACGTAATGGAATACCAGACCACTCAGCAAAAAAAAGAGAATGAACTACTGACACGCGCAACAACATGAATTTCCTAAACACTGTGCTTGGTGAAAGAAGTCAGACACAAAAGTATTTATTCTGTATGATTTCATTTATGCGAAATTCTATAAAAGGGACAGTGAATCTATGGAAATAGAAAACAGATCAGTGGTTGCCTGGGGCCAGGTGGAAGGACGACTAACCACAGAAGGGAATGAGGGAACTTCTGGGGGTGACAGAAATGTTCCACATCTGGATTACGGTGGTGTTTACAAAGATGTAGCCATCTGTCAAAACAACCAAACTGTATACTTAAAATAGGTGCATTTTATTGTATGTAAATTACACCTCAACAAAGTTTGATGTAAAAAAATAAAAGTGTACAATCCAGAAGTCTTACCCTCGCCCCTAAACCCTGCGTAGCTGGGCCCTGCTTGCCGTGCTATCTCCTCACACACCTCCCTCTGCCCAACCAGAGCTCTGCCCAGAGGAAACATGGGAGGTCCACGGGCAACAGCAAGGCTCTGCCCCATGCCCTGCCAGCACAGGGAGGGACATTCAAAGCTACCTGGATGGTGGGGAGGGCTCCTCAGGAGACTGACCCCTTCATCTGAGTCTTGGAGGCTCCCAGGGGGTCACCTGCATCTGCACCACCCTCCCCTCCTTCCAAAACAGGAGGAGGTTCTAGGGGGGTGAGGGTGACACTTACACAAAAGCAACAAAATAGCACTGGTCAAACAATGGCCAAGGTCTCAGGGAATCCTGGCATGGCAAGATGGGGCTGAGAGTGAGACGAGGACTCTAGCTCCTTCAAGCCACTTGGCGGCACCACCACCCACTCTCCACCTCCACTTCGCACTCAGCCCTCTTCTGCCAGCCTGGGACCTCAAGGCTGTCAGTCACTCCTCCACCCGAGCCCACAACCTCTCTGGATCCCTGCTGACCTCGCCATTCAAGCCAACTCCAGTCTCTCCATCTCCCACACACATTGAAACTCCTTTGTGGACTTGTCTGCAGGCCCCATCTCCACGGCCCCACCTCCTATGCACTCCTCCGCCAGCACCTATGTGTCCCATCTTTGTGTTTGTCACGGCCATCAAGGAAGGACACAGCCTAGAATCCAACATCCACCGTCAGGCCTTACCACACCTGCTCTCACAGGGCTCCCAGCAGGCAAGCACCTGCTCTTCCTCCATGGGGCCCTGTCCCCTAGGTGTATGAAGAACTAGACTTTCTTGGACCTCTCTGTCCTTCCTGCTCAGCCTGCTGTGCTGGGTGGCCTTGCCCAAGGCCACAGAAGGGGTGGGGGCAGGTTCACTCTCTCCCTTCCACCACCATGCAGGGGTTTAGTATGGCATGACACACACAGAAAGGTAGTCAAGGGTAGGGTCAGGGGGCAGAGGACAGGACCTAGTCTGCAAAGACAGGCGAGTGTTATCCTGAAGTCTGTGGGAAAGGATGTCAAGGAGGAGAGTATAAAAATCAAATTTGCATTTCAAACCCATCACTCTGGCTAGGGTGAGAAGGAGGAAGGCAGGGGCTGAGATAGAGCCAAGAGGACCAGCCGGGGCAACTGCTGTGATCCCGGGAGGAAGAAGGAGCCACAGAAGCAAGCTACTTGAAGGAAGGGATGGACAGGAAGGGCCAAGAGCAGGGATATCCAGGAGGAAGTTCTGAGAGAACCTGGAGGTGAGAGAAGAGCCTGGAACTGCCACCAGATGTCTTGCTTTGGCTAACAGGTGGACTGTGGCAGAGGCACTGGGGTGGGCCACTCTTAGGGCAGATACGGTGTGCTGGGTCACCAGAAGTTCACCTGAGACTGATGTTCCAAAACCACACGCAGTGGAGACAGGCTGTTGGTAGAGACCAGAAATTCATAAATCCCTAGAACACAGACCCCATCAATGAGTCCACAGATACAGGACCCCCTTCCTAGGTGCCTGCCAGCCCAGGCAACACTCTGTGGAAAGCAGAGTCCAGGCACACCCCAAGCAGATGAGGGATGAGGGCAGGATGGACCAGTGGAGAGCCAGGAGAGGAGGCTCCAGCCAACAGGCCAGAAATCCAGTGCAGGCATCACAAGGGAAAAAAGGACCTGCTAAAGCTTCCCCATCTCAGCTCTGAGCAAGAGCTTGAGGGGTGGGGGAAGGGGGCAGGGGCAGGCAACTGGCTGCTCAGAGCATCACACATCCATCACAATAAGGAGCACAGAGCTAGCCTCTGTGCAGGTTCCTTTGGGCAGCCACCAGCCCCTTAGCAACTAGACCCCAGGCTGGGGCTCTCCTTGGGGCTCCCAAAGTGAATTAGGCAGCACAACCAGAGGCACAGAGGCCCTTTCACACTTCTCCCAGGGAAACTCCAATCCTGCCGGGGGAGCACCTGGAGGAGCAAAGACACAGGAGGGTTCACTGCTGGGCCAAGAGAGGCTCTGAGAAGAGCAATGTGGTACCCCTACCGCCACCTCCACCCCCAAGTTGAGGACCCAGTGCTTTGGGGAGAGCCAGCCTTTCTCTAGCTTCCCAAAACCTGGAATGACTCCATACAAGCCTCCCTTCTGCACCCATGGAAATTAATCCCATGGTCGCCTGAGCCTCTGCTCCGGGACAACGAGGGGCCCCAGCCAGTAGTGGATTCCCTCGCAGGCCTGGAGCACCTCTGCACCAGCACAGGGCCAGGCACTTCCAACACATACTAGGTACTTCTGGCCTTGACCTCACTCTGTGAGGTGGAGCCCAGGATTCCCACGTTACAAGTAAGGTCACTTGAACCCCTGAAAATGTGAGGAATTAGCCCCAGAGAGGCTCCAGTTTCTCCTCTGGCCTACCTCTAAAGCCCACACAAAGCCTGAGCAAGTCACTTCTCTGGGGGCCTTAATTTCCTCGGCAGAAAATGGAGATAATTCTAGTGCTGCCTACCTGACTAACAGGCTGCAAGAATGAAAACTACCGGACGTATAGATAAAACGTGAAAAGCCCTACTGCTGGCCTTCACAGGCTGCCACTACTAGAAGCCGTTTGTGATCCTTAGCACCCGCTGCCCTGGGCCTCCTCCACCTGCGCCCGAGGCGGGCGTGCGGAGACTTCTGCCCTGGCCTCTGTGTGCTGGCCAGATATGTTTCCTAAGGACTCCCCCATCTGGGCCCTGGCCTCCTCTGCTTCTCATCCCGATCTAATCTCTCTCTATTCCTCCCTCTCGCTCAGCTCAGCTGAGCCGGTCTCCCCCGCCCCCACCTCCCCAGCAGGGCCCAGCCTCCTCTTCACGCCCCTAGAACGCGGCCCGGCCTCCTCTCCCCTGAGCCCCTGCCTCCTCTGCCCCCTACCTCTCTCCCCCCGGGGCCCGGCCTCCTCTGCCTCCAACCCCGGGGCCCGGCCTCCTCTCCCCGCCCGGGGCTCGGCCTCCTCTCTCCCCCTTGGGGCATGGGCTCCTCTGCCCCCCACCCAAGGGCCCGGCCTCCTCTGCCCCCAACGCGGGGGCTCGGCCTCCTCTCTCCCCCTGGGGCCGGGTCTCCTCTCCCGCTGCAGCCCCCGGAAGTCGCGCCTCACCTTCCGCCTCGCGCAGGCCGCCACCGCGCAGTCGATCGGATCCCGTGGGCTGGTCAGTCAGCCCCGCGCTACTCCCGGCGCCGTGGGGGCGGGCCCCGCGCCGGGCCCTCGCCATGGCAACGCTATACTTCCGGCCCGCGCGGCCCAGAGCCGGAAGCCGCTGCGCCCCGTGGGTGCCGGGGGCGGGGCCGAGCTGCCCGGGGGCGGGGCCGAGCTGCCCGGGGGCGGGGCCGAGCTGCCCGGGGGCGGGGCCGAGCTGCCCGGGGGCGGGGCTGCCGCGAGCAACTGGTGGACTAGTGCGGCTGCTGATGCCGGCGTGTGAGCTTCTCTTTGGCAAGGACACCCTCGGCGCGGGTGGGGCCCGGGTGGCGCCCGGGTGGGACGGGAAAGGCAAGTAGTCAAAGGACTCCCAGGAGGGTGGTCATCTATTTATGCTGGGCTTTTAAGGAAGGGTCGGAATTCACCGGACAGAGCAGAGGCATTACGGGCAGAGGGAACAGCATACGCAAGAGAGAAAGGACCTGGTGCATTGGAGCAATGGGAAACAGCTGAGATAGTGGTTTAGCAGGGCCGCAGGGAGAGTGTGGTCAGACCTGAGTAGTCAGGACACAGGAGCCTTGAATGCCAAACCAAGGAGTTGGGCCTTATCCTGAAAGCAAGGGAGGACCAGAGGAGGACAGGGGTGACTTAAGACTTGTAGGAGGGGGCCGGTCCGGTGGCACAGTGGTTAACTGCGCACATTCCACTTCAGCGGCCCGGGGTTCGCTGGTCCAGATCCCGGGTGCAGACATGGCACTGTTTGGCACACCATGCTGTGGTAGGAGTCCCACATATAAAGTGGAGGAAGACTGGCACGGATGTTAGCTCAGGGCCAGTCTTCCTCAGCAAAAAGAGGAGGATTGGCAGCAGTTAGCTCAGGGCTAATCTTCCTCAAAAAAAAAAAAAAAAAAGACTTGTAGGAGATAAAGACCTCTTTGCTAACTGAGTGGGGCCAGGAGGCTATCGGTAGTAACAGCCTGGTGAGACACAAGGACCCCCTAACTAGAGCCCTGGGAACTGAAAGGAGTTGAGGAAGTGACATAGGAGCCCAGAGAAAGCCAGGTGAAGTCTGAAGGGAGAGTCTGAGATAGTGGGGGAAGCAATGTGGTACCCCATATACATCATCCATCTCAGCCCAAGGCTTCCTCCTCCAGTGCACCCATCCTTCATTCCTTCCCTCAGTGCCTCAGTAGGAGCTGGACACCCACTGTATGCTGTGGATTTTCAACCCTTTAAGTGTATGGGGTCAGGGGCTGCACAATAAAAGATGAGTAAACTGATATAAAATGTGTCCCTGTGCTCCTGTGGCATCCCTTGGGTCTGGGGGCCCTGGTACCAGTACCAAGCACCACTGCTAGTGCCCTGGGCCTGATACCTTCTTGGGCAAACTTGGGTGTGTGTGTGGCGGGGAAAGTTGACACAACACACATCTGGGCTTTGGGGCAGGGTACAGACCACAGGTCTTGAATGACTTGAGGGGAGGGCCACAGATCAGATGGCCAGGGAGGAAGTGAGGGGACAGAAGAAGGCGTGGGAGTTAGGAGGACTGGTGAGTCTCAGGAGAGCTGCCAGAGGCATTTTTCTTGGACCACACCTTTGGGCTAGGTCCTGTGCCTGCTAGAGCCTTCAGAGGCTCTGGCCAGGCCTGAACAGGGGGTGCTGGCCACACAGGCCTCTGCAGCCTAAGCTTCTATTCCCTCTTCTGTGCTCCTCCTCCACTCAGACTAGTCCTCACCTGCCTGGGGAGCATCTCCCTCCTTCTAGACTAAGCCACGGGGCCTTAGCTGCCTGGGAAGCCCTTCCTGTTCACCCACACACAGCACACCTGGACTCACTCCCACCCAGGGCAAAGCCAGGTGGTCCTTGCAGTCTCTCCTGGGCAGGGACCATGACCTATGAGGATGTATCCTCAAGTCCTGGCTCCAAGAGGTGTCCAGTAAACCCCTACAGCTAGAAGATCTCTTCCTCCATGCATACCCATACAGGGGCACTGCCCAAATGCCCCCAAGAAACAAGGGGCATCCTCCCCGGGGGCAACCTCCAGAGCATCTGGACCCAGAGGACCAGAAGAGGAGGGAGGGAAGCTTGCCTCCGGGACGTTCTCTGGGGCCAGGCAGGTACAGCTCACTCAGGGCAGGCGAGGTGCACAGTGAGTAATAAGGGCTAGTCAGCTCCCAGGATCCACTGTGGACAAGCACCAAGGACGGAAGTGGTCTCCAGAGCCTGGAGACCCTGCTGGGACCCTTCAGCAGTCCCTGGGAAAATCTCGAGTCAACTGTGCCCCTCCTTTTTCCTGATGTTTCCTCCAGGAAGCCCTCCCAGACCACCACCCAGGACCTGCTAGCTGCTTGGCCTTGAACTCTCAGCAGGACCCACCCACTCTTGGCAGCTCAGCTTGGGCAAATCACTCCCGGGTGGGTTAAATGGGAGCCTGAGACTGACTCTGGACGGAAGGGGTAAAGTAACCTTGGGTCATAGGCTCTTTCCAAGAGCTTTTCCTTCCAGGTCATAGGGGGTGCTGAAGGCAGCCCAGGGGTGAGGAATGAGGCCTGAGTGGCCGCCTGCAGCCCCCACTGGAATCTTCCCTGCCCCTCCCTTTCAGATTAACTGAAACCTGCTAATTGTGGCAGCCCTCTGCACGCTCCCCTCCCCCACCGCCGTATTCCTCCCTCCCGTTGCCTCCCCTCCCCTCCCCCTTCCATCCGAATGATAAAGGGCCCGGCCCGCCTGCCCCCGCCCGGCCTCAGGCCCCGGCCCTGCCTCGCCACACTGCCCCAGTGCCCTGCGCCCTCCACGGGCCAGGCCTCTGCCCACGTTGTCGGCTTCCCCTGCATGGGGCCCTGCAGCAACCCACGCCTAGAGCTCCCCGGGGCGGAGTCGGCCTCCCAGCCCCCCAAGAGGAGGAAGAAGAGATACCTGCGGCATGACAAGCCCCCCTACACCTACTTGGCCATGATCGCCCTGGTGATCCAGGCCGCACCCTCCCGCAGGCTGAAGCTGGCCCAGGTGAGAGGGTCCCCCACTCTCTTCACACTCCGAGGTCCCCCACTTTCTTCACACCCCAGACCCGTCCCCCACCTACTCCCAGGCTCAGGTTCGGGCCTCCACCCCCACCGGGCCCTACCCAGCTGTGCCAGCGCGGCCAGTCCCGGCCTGGGCACCTGGCGAGGGGGCTGAGATGCTTAGGCGAGACCCTTTTCAGGGAGGTGCCCCCTTCTCCCTCGGGCTCAGAGGTGTTCTGAGGGGGGCGGCGCTGGGGCGCCCCTAAGCCCAGCTGTGGGGGAGGGGTGGTTGCCCCCTCCGCGCCCCGGTTCACAGCGCCTGCCGGCCGCCCCGTGGTTTCAGATCATCCGTCAGGTCCAGGCCGTGTTCCCCTTCTTCAGGGACGACTACGAGGGCTGGAAGGACTCCATCCGCCACAACCTCTCCTCCAACCGATGCTTCCGCAAGGTGGGGCAGGGCGAGGGTCGGGGCCGGGGGGCGGGGCGGGGGCGGTAATCCCGAGTATCCGGGGTCGCACGGCCCCACCCAAGCCTGCCCCCCCAACCAGGTGCCCAAGGATCCTGCGAAGCCCCAGGCCAAGGGCAACTTCTGGGCGGTCGACGTGAGCCTGATCCCCGCCGAGGCGCTGCGGCTGCAGAACACGGCCCTGTGCCGGCGCTGGCAGAGCAGGGGCGTGCGGGGGGCCTTCGCCAAGGATCTGGGCCCCTACGTGCTGCACGGCCGGCCCTACCGGCCGCCCAGTCCCCAGCCTCCGCCTAGCGAGGGCTTCAGCATAAAGTCTCTGCTAGGGGACCCCGGGGAGGAGGCGCCACGGAGCAGCCCAGGTCTGGCAGGCTCCACGCGCAGTGGGGAGGACGTGGTGCCCACTCAGCCCCTGCCCTCTGAGAGGTCTCTGTGGCCCCTTTGCCCCCTCCCCGGGCCCATGAGAGCAGAAGGGGAGGCTTCCCAGGGGGGAACCAGCAGGCCCTCGCCCCTTTCCCCTCAGCCCAGAACCTGGCCCCTCCACTTACTGCAAGGTACCCCAGACTCTGGGGGACTGTCCAGTGGGGGCCACAGGGCCTCACTTTGGGGGCAGCTACCCACCTCCTACTTGCCCATCTACACTCCCAACGTGGTAATGCCCTTGGCTCCACTACCACCCACATCCTGTCCCCAGTGCCCACCATCAACCAGCCCAGCCTACTGGGGGGTGGCTCCTGAAACCCATGGCCCCCCAGGGCTGCTCTGGGATCTAGATGCACTCTTCCAAGGGGTGCCACCCAACAAGAGCATCTACGATGTGTGGATTAGCCACCCCCGGGACCTGGCTGCCCCCACCCCAGGCTGGCTACTCTCCTGGTACAGCCTGTGAGGCTCCCAGGGCAGGGGCTGCTTGCTTCTCCCATCCCCTCCTGCTGCCACTGGCTTGTTAAAGGGAAACCAAGGCCAAGAGGACCAAGAGATGTCTGTGGCCACAGAGCCTTGAAACATGAGACACCAGCTGTTCTGAGTCCACAATGTTTATTGGACAGCCCCACGAAGGGTTGTGGCCCAGCTGGGCACCACCCTGGCCCTGATGGTCAGTCATGCCTCTCCTACCCCCAGAGGCAAAGCTGGAAGGAGCAGGGCTCTGCTTGGAGTAGCCCTTCCTGTCCCTTTCCAGGTCCCACCTTCTCTGGCCGTCTGTCCGTCCGTCCATCCCTCCATCCATCACCATCTGTCGCCTCCCCTCCCTGGCTGCAGGCTGGGGGAGGGACAACCTAATAGCGGCTCCAGCCTTAAGTCTTGTGCCCCCTTAACTGTCTGGGAAGGAGATAGCACCTTTTTGGGGAAAAGGGATCGGGAAGAAGGACCCTACAGTAGTTCTGGTGATGGTAGTGGGGAAGAGCACAGTAAAGGAACAGACCAGATTTTAATGGCAAGTCTGATTTTTGGTGGTGGGGTCGGTAACTGGTGACTCGGGTAACACTGGGCCCGGGTCTGCGTCCCCTCCCGCAGCTCTGGGATCCCTGCTGTGTGCCGCGATAACAGCAAATGGTGATAAGGAGGGAGCTGAGGGCCTGGGGAGCAATCATTTTCCAGGCTTAACACTCCTCCTCGCGGGGCGGGGGGAGGGGCAACTCTGGGAGTTTGGGGGGCAGTGGGCCCCCAAAAGGTCAAGAAGGTTGTTTGGGTGTAGAAACTTCGCTGCCTCCGCCGACAGAAGTGCGACCCTAGACTCCCTGGGCAGGACTACGAGGGCAGGTCCTCCGGGGGCACGAGGGCCGAGCTGGAGCCGCTGTCGGGGCCGGGGCTTGGAGGGCTGCCGGGGGGTGGCGTGGGGGTACAGGGGGTTCCAGTGAGTGGTGTGTCGGTGCTGAGCGAGGAGGGCGTCCCGGAGCGCGGGGCCCTGCGGCGCCGGGCCGGCCCCAGCTCCACTTGGCCCACTCGCTCGGCGAACTTGAGCGAGCACACAGTCTCGCCGAGGTCCTCGGGCCGCGTGGAGATCTGCGGGGGAGCGGCACTGGTGGGCGGCCCCCGAGTGGGCGGAGCCTGGCGTGCAGACCGCCCCCCTTGGCCCTGCGCCCCGCCCCGCCCCGCGCCCGCGCCCGCGCCCGCGCCGCCCGCGCCCACCTGCAGCAGCAGCACGGCAGTGGCGCCGGGACCGAGCGCCGGCTGCAGCAGGCGCGTGAGCTGCGAATCGCGGAAGGGCACGTGTGGCCTGCGGGCCCGCAGCGCAGCCATCACGCCTCCCAGCGCCAACAGCGAGCGGTTGATGGTCCGGGCCTCCCGCAGACGCTGGGCGCCGTCCGAGTCTCCCCGCGCCGTGCCGGCCGCCCCCGCCTTCCAGGCACGCTCGGATCCCGCCAGGTCCACCAGGTGCAGCGTGCCTGCAGGGGCGAGCGAGTCCGACGTGGAGAGCGCCCCGGTTTCAGGTGCGACGAGGCCTCCCGCAGGGCTCAGGCGCAGGCCGCGGTACCTGCGGGGCCCGGACCGCGCGGTGGGAACGCCGCGCGCAGCGTCAGCGTGACCATCGCGTGCGAACGGGAGCTGTGCTGGTTCATGGCGGTGGCGGCGGTGGCCCGGTTGCTCCTCCCCAGGCTCAGCATCTGGAGGGCGGAGCGACAGGGCTTGCCTGCTGCTCGTGCTGCAGGGTCTGCGCCCCCAGGTGGGAGAACAGGGCGGGGCCTTGGAGGGCGGCGCTGCACACTAGGCAGTCTTACCTGGTGCAGCGTCTCCAGGTTGGGCACGTCCCAGTAGGTGAGGCCAGCCACCTGGATCCCCCCTTGGCCTGCTGGGCCCTGCCTCACGGCCAGGCGCTCGGGAGGCCCTGGGGCTAGGAGGTCCCTGGTGAGAAATGGGAGGGCTTGGTTTGGGGGTTCTCCGGGGAGCCAGAAGCCTCTGGGACTAGGGGTGGGGAGGAGGCGGTGCCGACCTGACAGCCTCGTTGTAGATCTCCACCATGCTGAGGGTCACGCGGTGCTGACCTCCGGTCCCCATCTCCCGGAACAATGACTGCAGCGCCCTAGGAGCTATGCCAGGGTCCTCGGGTGGGCCCTGGGGACGGGATGGAGTGCCACATCGGGCTCACATCCCAGTCCCTAGCCCCAGGAGCCACCCAGAGTGTGCCCCCTTCCCACCTCCATGCTGTAGGTCTTCCCAGTCCCTGTCTGACCATAGGTGAAAATGCAGACACTGTAGCCTCGAAGGCAGGACAGCACAGCCGGCTCCAGCTCCCTGAAGACCTAGGGGCAAGAGGAGTGCGAGGGGTGGGGCAAGGTGTGAACAGAGCTTGATTCCCCTGGGAGGCAGGCTTTAGGGGAGCATGGGGGAAGGGTGGATCTCCCCACAGAGGAGGCTCCCTGGAGAAGTGGGCATTTTCAAGAATTTTCCAGGCAAAGAAAAGAAGGAGAAGAGGTGGTGCAGAGTACTGGGGAGGCTGGGGGCATGGCAGTCAAGAGCCCAGATGCTGGGCTGGAGCACCAGGTTCAAACCCTGGGTGTGACAGGAGGCAAGTCACTCATCCTTTTTGTTCGAGGTTTCTTTCTGTGAGCTGAAGACTGTAATGGCCCCCGTCGTCAGGGCTGAAGGGGAGCATGTGCTGAGAGACTAGAGCAGTGCTTGGCACACAAATGATGAGCCCAAAAGGGCCCCAGGGTGTGAAGGATGGGCCAACTAGGATTGCTGGAACCTGGGCCCTGGGAGGTTGCAGAGAGGTAGCCAAGGGGGATGTGGGGCTGGGACTTGTATCTTGTTGGCAACTGGATGCCAACAGGAGCCTTTTGAGCAATGACATGCCAGCTTTCCAGCTTAGAAGGTGGCTGGTAATGTCAGTTCTGCCGGAAGTGTTGGTTGCTGGCCATGAGGGCAGAATCCAGAATTGCCGTGTGGTCACTAAGATTCCATGACTGAGAGGAAGCTCTGGGGGTGACCATGGTGGTGGGACTGTGGTTGGGGGGACTGTGGTGCCATTGCAGAGATGGGGAAGAGATGCGGGGGCTCGGTGACAGATGCCTTTGGTTCTTTCATTCAGACACATGGAGTTGGAAGGCCCTGTCCAGAAGGGCTGCCTGTGAGGCAGTGGACAACGGGGGGCCCGTGCAGGGCTGCAGTTTGGGGCAGCACGTGAGGCTGGGGTGGTGTGTGGGATACACAAGAGAGGTGAGTGGAAAACAGCTGTGGTACTCCAGGAAGTGGAGGAGGGCGCCCTGGACACCTGCCACGCACTCTCATCACACCGTCTGTCCCTCTGAGGCCAGCACAGGTCTGAGTCTCAGCCAGCTCTGCCCCGTACCTCATCCCCTCCTGGCCCTGAGTCTGTTTCCTGAGCTATGGAAGCTCTAGCGGCAAAGTTTGTGTGTGACAGAGAGAGAGTATGTGAAGCAAGTTGCTGGTAGGCTGGGGCTTGAGCCTCTGTTTTCTGCTGAGTCTGGCAGGAAAGGAGAGGAGGAAGGAGGGCGGGATCTGTGCAGGGCAGCGGGAGAGCACTGAGGGCCAGAAGCTCTCCCACTCACCCATGTCCCCCTCTGCCCACCTTGGCCACAAAGCCAGGAGGGTTTTCTGCTCTCACAGCTAGCCAACTCTGGACCCCGGGCTGGGGGAATGGGCAGCCAGCAAAGCCTGGAGAAGGAGGTCACAGCACTGTCCCCACCACAGCAGCACCATGCTCCACAGCCAGCTCTGCCTGAGCAGTAACCGTCACCTCAGAAGGTTCATTTTCTTTAGTTTCCTGATGAAAAGTTATTTTTGAAAATGTTAACCTTCATGTCTAAACGAGAAGGTCTGTTTCCCCTGGGCCTACAGAGCCTGGGGGTGGGGTGGGGGGGAGAGGATGCAGAGGAACAACCCTGGAAGGAAAGGAAGTGCCCAGCTAGCCTGCCAGTCCTGCATCCCAAATCCTCCGGCTCCCTTCTTTTCCCTGCTGGAGTCCAGCCACTCTCCCTCCTGGGAGGACAAATAGACTAAAAAGGGGAACCCAGAGTGTCTTCTGGACTCCAGGAGACCCTGAAGGAAGGTGAACACAGGTGCAAGGGCAGAGCATTACCTCCTCCTGGCTGGCATCTGGAGGGAAGACCCAGTCCAGATGGAAGCGATGCTGGCGCCCTCGATAACAGGTGGTGACACTGCCACCCGGGCCGGGCTCTGAGCACACCAGGCTGGAGGGTGTTCCTGGCCTCAGCCGACACAGCACACGGATATTTCCTGAGGTGGAGAGCAGGCCAGTGAGCTGCCTCCTGGGCCATGAAGCATGGAGAGGCTCCACTTCCTTCAGCCTGCCCCTCACTCCTCCACTCCCCGGTCCTGCCATACCCTTGAGCTCCAGCAGTCGCCCTGGGCATCCAGTTGGGGTCCTCTGCTGCTCCTCAGGGAGCTGAGTCCCAGCCCCTCTGGCTGACAGTGCTCCCAGGGCCCAGGATACCTGGGGGAACAGGGATGTGATGAAGACAGCAGGGAACTGCTGAGGGAGGAGCTGATGGGGTGGGTGCTGAGAGCAATGTGGAGCCACCGTGTGACCACACAGCTGTGGTGATCTGCAACTTTCTGTGGCTTCAGGTCCCTAAGAACATCCTTCTGCGGACCTGGGATGGAACCCAGGAATCTGAGGAGGCCCACGGACAAAGACATCATCTGTCTCCTCTGGGCTCTTGGCAATCCTGAGAGATTCACTGTCACCCCAGTTGGCACAAGACAAAAACGAGACCCAGAAGTGACATCGCACACAGGGTCACACGACTGTTCTGGTTCCAGAGCCTACGTCCTCCATCAGAGCAGGCAGCTCCCAGGCTGGGAAGGGAGAAAGGACAGGGGCTCCCTGAGGGAAGGACAGTGATGGGGCTCCCCAGAGATCATGTGTCAAGAGAGGGGGCAGGTGGTCCTGACCTGGCCCTGGGCCTCGCTCAACGAACCCTGACAGCTCTGGGTGAAGGTGCTGACCAATCCTCGGAGGTCCCCACAGCCCTGACGCAGGCTGGCCATGCGTGCCCGGAGTCCTGGCAGGGGAAGGTTGTTGAGGGAAAGCCCAAACCCGTGGCCTTTCCATGAGCCCCCCAGCCCCTGGACTTACCTGCCAGCTGCCCATGCATCTGCTGCAGCTCCCTTCTGCAGTTCTGCTCAGTCTCCTGCTGGAGCTGCCGGAGGGCCCCCCGAAGGCCCTGCAGCTGCACCTCCTGCACCCCCAGCTGCCCCGCCCAACGCCACCCATTACTGAGGATAGGGCACTTAACAGTCCCCACCTCAGATGCCCCTCTCCCCAGTGCCCCAGCCTTTCTGGCCCCTGGGCCCAGCACCCACCTGGACTCGGAGAGCTTCTGTGGTGTCCTGGGCCTCCTGAAGCCGGCCCTGAAGCTCCACTAGTGCCTCTGCCTCATCCTGCAGGAGGGGGGAGGGGGGCAGCCAGGTCAGCATGTGGGAGGGGCGCCCCAGCAGCCCCATTTTCCAGCTGGGAAAGTCAAGTCAAGAGGAGCAGGCAGACCCATGCCTCCTAAGTCCGTGCAAAGGTCCTTTCCCCAGGTCCCTCTGTTCTCCTGGGGTCAGTCACTCAGGGGAGCCACGGGACGGGGTGAAGGAGTTCTCCCATAGGCAGCAGTCTCCTTGATGGGGCTGTCCTGCACAGACCATCCCAGGGCCTAGCCACAGTCCTGGGGCCCTGGCCCTTCAGGTCACAGAGGGCCCCCTGCCTCTGTTCCAGCATTCAGGACATTCTGAGAAAGCCTGAGCAATATCGCTGGAGGCCAGTGTGCAGGAGCCCCAGACTGCAGGGAAGCAGCAGCTAAGGAGCAGGGTACCTGGGGAGCCCTGGTGGAGGGGCCGGGGCCCCAGTGCAGCAGGAGGTCCCGAGTGAGGCTCAGGCTCTGCTTCAGGGCCTCGTTCTCCAGAGTAAGGTGCTGAACCCTCTTCTCCGAGTCTGTCGCCCCCTGGCGGAGAGAGAAGCCCTCAGGACTCACCTGAAAGTCGGGGGGCCCTCTCTCTTGAGTCCGCTCCTGGACCCGCCCCCAGCAGCCTCACCACTCCCAGGCGCAGCCGGCCCAGCTCCTCCTCCTGCAGTTCTAGCTGCTGCTTCAGTTCTTCCAGCTGGGAAGGAGGAGAGGACACGTGGTGGAGCACCTCCTTCCTGTCCCCCCCAGTCCCTGCTGCCTCCTGGGCCCCTCACCTGTCCAAGGATGAGCTGTTCCAGCCGCTGCCAAGCTCTCTGGTCCTCTTCCAACTGGGGGGACTGTTGCCCCTGGGTCTCACCCCTTGGTGAAAGGGAAGGGCTTTCTTCTTGGGATGGGGGCCCTGTGGTGAGGTAGACCCAGTTAGGACTGATGAGGTCTCTGGCTTGAAAAAGGGGCACCTTCAGAGCAGAGCTAGGCTTGGGACCCCGTACTCCACGCCACTCAGGCTCTAGTGGGCTTCACTCCCTCCACACGCTCCCTTTTCAATTCACTACTCTTTACACACCAGCGGGAGTTGAGGGTTGCACCCCCGAGGCTGACTGAGTCCCCTGGGGCAGGGCCTGCCTTCCCCTGGGGCTCCGAATCCATGCCAAGAGGGCCAAAAGCTGACCGGTCACCGTCAACAGTAGGGGAACATCACCAGGCTGTGAAGGAAATAAGAATCAGGCGGAGAAGATGGGAACAGGAACGTGGAGGCCAGAAGGACTGGGGAGATAACGGGTTGCCGGAGAAGGACCCTCAGTCCCGCTCACCTTGGTCACGTCTGGAGGATTCCCGCAGCTCTCTTCCGCCCCCAGCTGGGCCGAGAGGAACTCCGCAAGACGCACCAGAGCCTCTTCCAAGGAGACCTCGGTTGCGTGGCCCTCGGCTCCCCCGACCGGCCCATCCTCAGACTCAGAGCAGCCTGCGAGGCCAGGTGGTGGGAGGGCAAGGTGCGCTGGGTCACGTGTTGGAGGCCAGGGCACCAGATGGCACCTGCCGGGTCCTCCGTCCCAAGGAGGTCACAGGCACCCCTCCCTCTCTAGGACGGCGGGGCTCCCCCGACGCACCGACAGTACCTACCGACCAAGCCGGTCAGCTCGGTCCACAGTTCTGCCGTGGGCTGGTCGGGGCGGCGGCGACCCCCAGGCTTGCTGCGGGCCCTCTAGGGAGCGAGCAGGGGAGCCCCTGAGGCGAGGCCAGGCAGCCTGCCGGGCTCTCTCCCTCAGGAAACTGGACCAGAGGACCTGGGGCTGAGGTCTCTGCTCCCAACACCAGAACGACACGGGGTCCTCCGCGCGGCCCCCTCCCCAGGGTCAGCGCCCTACGCTGCGCGGGCCCGCAAAGCAGCTCTCAGGAAGGGGTCGCCGGCCGCGCTGCGCCCGCCCCCACTCACCTGCGCCGGGTCCCCGGGGTCGGCGGGCCCCGCGGCCCCGCCATCCCTGCGGAAGAGGCTGTAGAAGATGTAGATGAGCAGCGAGTAGAAGGCGTACATGGGAGTGCGGGGCAGCAGAGGGCCCCGCTTCGCGCCACCCCGCGTCCCCTCGCCCCGACTCGGCGCCCGCCCGCCGCACAGGCGGTGCGCATGCTCGGGGCGGCCGCCCCCACGGCCCGGCTCCGCGGGCGGAGGGCGCGCGCCCGAGGAAGGGGGTGCCAGAGACAGGTGGCCCCGGGACCCCCGCGGACACCTGCCCCGCGCCCCCTTCTATTTCGCGGAGACGTAGGGCTGAGAGCGCCAACGGACCCCGCACCCCCTTTTCTCGGAATCCCTCCCAGCCCTCCGTGGACGCCCCACCACGCTCATCCTTGGAGCTGTCCGCCCACGGGTGTCCAACCTCCACTCCCCGCACAGCCCCGCTCCTCCCCTCACAGCCCCGCCCCCTCCACCCTAGCGCGAAGCCCCGCCCACACCCCGCCCCCTCAGGCCCCCGCCACGCCCCTCTCCTCATAGCCCCCTCCTCTTACCTCCCCGACCCTCCCAGTCCCGCCCCTCCCGGTCGACTTCCCCCAAGCCCCGCCCCTCCCCTCACAGCCCCGCCCAGACCCCCTCTCCTCACAGCCCCTTCCTCAGACCCCTCCCTCTCCTCACCACACATCCCTCCAAACCAGCGGGCTAATACACCGCATCCCCGTACAGAGCCCCCTCCTCCTAGTCCCCCCTCCTCTCTTACAACCCGGTCTCGCTCTCCTAGAATGCCCCCTTAGCCCAGGCCCCGCCCCCTGCCGCTCTAGCCTCCACTCCTCTCGTTGGTTCACTCCGGGCCTCCGCAGGCCCGGCGCGGGAGGCGGGGCGGCGGCGGACGGGCGGCACTGTGAGCACGTTCAGGCGACCGGTCGCCGTTGCGTTCGGGCCGCGCAGTTCGGCCGCCCCTGAGAGCCTGGGCTGTTGCTCCTTCCAAGCGCAGGGACCAGGCCGAGTGGGCCTGTGAGCGCCTCGCTCCTTCTCCCCCAGGTCCGGCGCCCCAACTTGGGTTCAAGGGCCCCAGGGCTCACGCCCACCCACCCCGCACTGCCTTCTCCCTTCTTTTCCCGGGAGAATTAGGTTTTTCTTCCCCACAGTTGTGTCCAGTGGCCTCAGGGCTCCGGAAAGTTTCGGATGAGCCTATCCCCATCCCAACATTTAGAAATGGTGCTCTGGAACCTGGGAGTCCTGGGGAGTCGCCCTTAGGGCTCCCGGTCGCCGGCTTCTGCGTTCTTTTTTCATCTCCAAAGTTGAGGATCCCCTGCCTGTCTCCTCAAACTCCCTACCGCCCAAGGCGCCATGGCCCTTAAGCCTTGGAGTGAGTGGAGCACGGCCCTGTCCCACCTGGCGCTAGGAGTGGTGTCTCTGCATGCAGCCGTGAGTACTGCTCAGGTGAGTACACAGGGGCCTGGCAGAGGCGTATCCCACTCCCAAACCCCAAGGACCTAGCTAGTTCCCTGGATCAGGGAGAGGGTGGTGGGAGGTGAGTCGGGGGGACCAGGCTTCCAGGAGACCACCAGAACCTTCCGTGCTTAACGGAAGGTCCTGGCCTCTTTTTCCCACATCTCCCTTCTCTGTGTTGACAGGCAAGTCGAGGGGCTGCTGCTGGCTTCCTGCTCCAGGCCTTGGCCACCGCCACCATGCTGGCCCCCGGGCTGGGCACAGATGAAGACTATCTTGCTGGAGCCTGGGTAGCCACTGTCATTGGTCTGCCCCTTCTTGCCTTCGACTTCCACTGGGTGAATGGGGACCGCTCCTCCGCCAACCTGCTCTTGGGAGGGGGCATGGTGCTGGCAGTGGCTGGGGACCACCTTGGTGCCGAGGGCCGCTCTGTGGCTGGTCAGGCGGTGGTGCTAGTGGTCGCAGTGACCATCCTCATTGTGGCTGTTTTCACGACCAACATTTATGGAATGTGGGGGGGCGCCATGCTGGGTGCTGCAGGCCTCCTGAGTCGGCTGGAGGAGGACAGACTGCTGCTGCTGCCAAAGGAGGACGTCTGTCGAGGGGCCCTGGCCGCGGGGAGTTGGGCCTACCACCGGGCACTGCACACACAGCGCCTGCAGTGGGAGTGACAGTTGGAGACAGCAAGGCAGGGCTTCTGCCCTGGCTATCACCTTCCCCTCCCATGGACCTGCTCCTGAGGCCTCCTCCTCTAGGGATAGACTCTCCTTTCCCTCAAGTGGGCTTGCTGCATGGTGACTGGTCAGGGGGCAGAGTCTGGGCACTGCCCCTTCTCTGGCTGAGTGTGGGGACTTGTTTAGATCAGAATGAAAGGGTCCCAGGCATGTTTTGGGACCTGACTCTGGGCAGGCCATGGTCGTAGATCCAGAGAGAGGCTTGGTCTCCAATAAACCTTAGGGATTCAGCAGAAATATGGAATCTGCCCATTCTTCAGAGGGATTGAGGGGCTGGCCCGGTGGTGCAGCGGTTAAGTTCGCACGTTCCACTTCTCGGCGGCCCGGGGTTCGCTGGTTCGGATCCCGGGTGCGGACGTGGCACCGCTTGGCAGCCATGCTGTGGTAGGTGTCCCACATATAAAGTAGAGGAAGATGGGCACGGATGTTAGCTCAGAGCCAGGCTTCCTCAGCAAAAAGAGGAGGACTGGCAGTAGTTAGCTGAGGGCTAATCTTCCTCAAAAAAAAAAAGAAAGAGGGATTGAGGGGTCCTCCAGTGAGCTTCCTGAGGCTCCCAGGGCAGCAACTGGTTTCTCTGAGCTAAAGAAGGGGATGCGCTGGAACCAGTCTGGGGCGTCCCCCAGCTTGGCCTCCTGCTGGTATCTTTGTCAGGAGAACCCCTGGACTGAGAAGACATACTCCTGGGCCCTTGCACGGCCTGGCAGGTGGCCCTCTGGGGCAGTGACCTTCACGGGCTGATGGCTGGGGTGGAAGCAGGGGAGGGCTGTACTACAGCTTCCCAGAAAGCCACATCTTCTCCCCGGGCTATGCGACCTCTGCCTGTTTGCCCTCTGGCCTGTGCAATAGAAGTCCTGATTTCCCAAGACCCTCAGTTTGCTCAGTTGACCCCTCTTCATCTCCCAACCCCAGGGTTAGGAAGCGGGATTGGGCAGAACAGTGGGTTAGACTCGGGGTCGCGAGTCCTCCCGCGAGGAGTCCGGGCGCTTAAGTCCTGTGGAAGCACATCTCATCACGCACAGGAGGGGAAGGGGTGGCCGGCGGGGTTTCCAGGAGCCAGCCCAGGGCCCCGCGCACGCAAGCCCGAGTGTTGGGGGACAAAGGCGCAGGCACACTCCGACGTGCGGTCCAGGGCTGCGTCGGTCCCGGTGACCCTCGGCGTGTGGGCCGCGCCCTGAACGCCCGGAAGCGCCGCGCTCGCCCCCATCTCAAGACTTCCCCACCCCAGGCGCGCACCCCTCCGCGGATCGCCCTGGGCCCCGCCCCCTCCCAGCCCACTTTCTGCAGGGGCGGGCCCTCAGGAACCCTCGAGCGCCCATTGGCCCTGGCTGCCGCGCCGTCTCGCCCAGAGCGGCGCTCCCATTGGTTCCGCGCCGCTCACGTGACAGGGAGAACGAGGAGGCGGTGGCGGCGGCAGCGGCGGGGGGAGCGCGCAGCGAAAACAAAGATGGCGGCCACGCCGGGGTTGGTGGCGGCGGCGGCGGCTGCGGGGCGACGCGCGGGCCGGACCCTCTGAGGCGGCGGCGCAGGGAGCGGGCTGCGGGGTCGCGGCGGCGGCGAGAGGGCGGCGGGAGCGCGCGGCGCCCCTAACCTCCAGCCGCGAGAGCGCGCCGGCACCCGCCCGCCGGGCCGGCTGGCCTCGATGTCCGGCGCCGAGGAGGCCGGCGGGGGCGGCCCGGCCGCGGGGCCCGCCGGCGCCGTGCCGGCCGGGGCCGGGGCGGGGGCGGGGGCGGGGCCGGGGCCGGGGTCGGGGCCGGGCCCGGGGCGGCCGCGGGGCCGGCGGCGGCGGCGGCGCTGGGAGAGGCGGCGGGGCCCGGGCTCCCGGACGAGGCGGGCCTGGCGGGCGCCCGGCAGCTGCAGGAGGCGGCCGGCGACCCCGACGCGCCGCCCAAGAAGCGGCTGCGGGCGGCCGAAGCGGCCGAGGCGGCGGCGGCGGCGGCGGCGGCGGGCAGCGGGAAGCTGGAGGAGCGGCTCTACTCGGTGCTGTGCTGCACCGTCTGCCTGGACCTGCCCAAGGCCTCCGTGTACCAGGTAGGGCCGCCGGCCCGACCCCGACCCGGCCCGGCCCCAGCCCGCCGCGGCCGGCCCCGCGCCGCGTCTCCTCGCAGGCCGGCCGGCCGAGCCGGGCCGGGACTCCGCGCCTGTTGGGAAGCTCCTCGTTCTCCTCTTCTCAGACTGTCTTGTTTTTTGCGTGGAACCCCCTTCTTTCTCGTTCTGACTCTCCTTAATTCCCCATCCGAATCTCATCTCTCTCCCTCAGATGCTTCTCTTTCCAGCTGCCCCCTCCTCAGCAAACCCCCCGCCCACCCCCTCAGGCTGACCCCACAGAAAACTGGGGCCAGATGCCCATCCTCTTCCCACCTCAGAGCCTGTTGTCCTCATTCCCGAGCTCCCTGGGCTCAGGGACCCCCTGGTCTTTCCTCTTCACTGAAGAGCTCCATCTCTATTCTTTTGGTAGCCACACCCCCAAAACCTGTCCTCCCGCTCATCCTGTACCCCTTCTTCCTCTCCAATGGAAGAATCCACTTCGCCTTGTCTGTCTCTTTCTGGGAAAACATTGAGAAGGGAGGGGATCCCCTCTTTTCCTTCCTTGGTCCCTTTCTCTCATTCCTGGTATGGATGAACCACCCGCATCCAGCCTCACAGTCTGGGTCCCTTCTCCAGCCCCAGTCTGACCCAGTCCCTTCTGGACATGCTACGCCCTTGGCTAGGCTCCCCCGCATCCTGCCTCACCCATGCCAGGCCTGGCTTCCTGGGCTGCCAGCACTCCAGGAGGTCTGTCCACCCTCCTCCTCCCATCTGAGGATCCAGCATAGGGGCTGGACGCAGAGTCCTTAACCAGCTCAGGGCCATCAGAGAGGGTACCAGGCCCAGGTGGGTCTTACGTGTGCATCACGTAGCACCAAGGGCTGCACTCTGGCCCCAGAGTCGGTGTGCAGTGTCTTGCCTTCTTTGTCTGTCTCTCTTCACCTTACCCCCCACCCCTCCTCTGATCCCTGCTCTCCCCAGAGCTCCTTGAGGAACAGAACAGGTTCTCTATCCCTTTCTTTGCACTTACAGGATCTTGACATGGTTGACGGGGTCTTGTTCCTCTTTTTGTACTCAAACTGGGGGCCATGGGTGAGCGAGCCATTCTTTGTAGTAAGGAGTGTGGGGCTGGTTTGGGTTATCATTTTTTCAACCTCTGAATGTGCAAATCCTTCTCACTCTGGCAGGTTGTTTGGGAGGACCCCAGTGCGTGTGCATAACAGAGGAAGAAAAGAAGGCATTGACGGGGAAGTGGGTTCAGTTCTTTGGGGAGAGAGCACTAGTTCTCATTCCACCTTCCTGGGCTTTGGGAAGCTCCTGGGCAGAGGCTCTTGCTCAGGAATACCACAGGCCTCCTGACCCAGTGCCAGCTGGGGGAGTGCTTCCTGTAAGCCCCTCAGCCTTGGGGGTGCTCCTCAGGACTTGTCCTCTCTCTGTCCTCTTTTTCCGTTGCCCACAATCTTTTGATCCTCCTAGGTAGAACTCTTCCTTCCTTGGGTCTTGAGTGACAGCCCCAGAAGCCAATGGTGAGGGGATTCCTAGGGGAATTCAGGAGTCTCCTGTCTTCTCTCCTGTGAGTGGGCTGGGGCTGGACCTGGCATAATGATAGGCCACGTGGTGCTGTCTCCTGGTCTACTCAGCACAGAGAGTCTCAACTCTGCCTCTGGCCAGAGCTGCTGGTGACTGGACCTCTGAGCCTGGCTGGTTTAAACCGGCCTGCACTGTGCTGGGAGCTGAGTGTATCCTGGGCAGCCGGAGGCAGACAGCTGAGCAGCTGTGATGGAGAGTGAAGGCACTGGGGCCACCCTGAACTGTGGCCCTCTCCACAGCCCAGTGGGCTCTGCTCCCTGGGAACAGGCCCACTGAGCAAGGAGAGCCAACTGACACTGAGCTACAGGCTCTGGCACTGAACCCCTGCTCCTCTTCCGTTCTTCCCAAGTCACACCTGGGCCTTGGTAGGGAGTTGTTTTCCTCTCATCTCTAGAGGCCTGGAGAAAGTTCTAGAATATGTGATCAGTGGGAGAGCCCTTGGCTCTAGAAGGATTGACCAGAGCTCTGCCACGGGTCAGAACTCCTTTAGCTGCTGGAAGACCAGCCATGGGATGGGGGGCATGTGGGGCATGGATGCCCAGTAGTACCTATGCTGGAGGTTGGGGTGTGAGGGGCCTGAGGGAGGGGCTGGGGGAAGGAGGGAACGCTTCTTGGTGGCTCCCTGCCACAGGTAGGATTCCACTTCACCTTCACAGTGACCCTGGATGGGGGCATTGAGGTCAGGGGTCTCTTGCCTGGTCAGCCTCAGAGCTGGGTTTGCTTCCTGGAGGATCTGGTCACAGATGACATGGGCTGCACACATGTTGCATCAAGATGGGTGGGCACAGAGCCTTCTTTGTGTCCCTGGTCAGGGCCCACTGCTAACCATCACCTTCTGGCCTGGGTTTTTGCTGGCCCATCTCTAGTAGACTAGTCTCAGGCGTGTTCCACTCTTTTCCTACCGGCAACATTTTTCCTAGCCCTGTTGGGACATGTGGCTCGGGGCTGGTACCAGCCCCACCGTCCAGCTGGGGGCTCTCTCAGATGGTGCCCAGCTCTGGGGTGAGGAGAAGAGCCAGTAGCCATGCTGAGCACTGTGTGCTGTGCCTGGCACTAGAGCTGCCGGAGACAACTCAATGGGCTTCTAGAGTTGGCTGGGTGCACGATAACTCAAGAGCTTACTCTCTGGCCACCAGACCCCACCTCCGTGCCACTAGGGAAGCCTTGGTGGTGGTGAAAACTCGCCTCAAGCAGACATGGGCTGCATGGGTGGACCTGTCCACCTGCTTCCAAGTCTGAGCCCCTAGCCTGGCAGGGCCTGCTCCCCTGCATGCCCAGCACATCGCACCACACACCTGGGTTGGGAAGTGCTCCGGTGTCAGACCAAGGCACTTGTACACATAGTTCTCACTATGGCTGGCATTAGGACAGGGTAGGGCCAGGGCAGGTACAGCAGATGGTGGCTTTGATGTTCTCCAGGCACGCAGGTGGGAATAGGAGGGCTGGAGGTACATCAGGGACGCTCACGCAGGAGCAGATGGTAGGCAGCCTGTGCTGGCAGGAGTTCTAGATGCAGCCCAGTGGCCCCAGGGCAATGTGACCCTCCTCTACTGCCTATGAGAGCGCCTTCTCTGGGGGAAACACAGCCTCATTGGTGCCTGGAGTGATGCAGCTCCATGCCTGCATCCTCAGCTCTCCCCTAGCCCTTCACATGAGGCTCAATGTGTCCTCCATCAGACAGACCTGGCCCTGACCCTGCTGACATGAGTGAAGGCCCTGAGCTGTGGACTGGCATCTGGAGGAAGGGGCTGCACAGCTCTGTCCAGCCTCTCACCAGCCAGAAAAGCTTGTGACCCCTGTCAGGGTGAGGGACTAGTCAGGGGGTCTCTGTTATGGAATGTGACCCCAGCTGGCCTTCTGGCGCCTGTGCCCACTGTGCCCAGCCTCCAACCTGGGCCTTGCCAGCAGTGTGCCCTGCTTCTCCAGCCCATTGCTCCTGTGCCACTTCAGCCTGTCTACCCTCTCCCTGTCTCTGCTCATTCCTCCTCCTCATGATCCCCACCGAGGCGGCACCGCCCTGCTGTGGCCCTCTTCCCTCCCTGCTACAAGATACCCATTCCTCCCCACCTGACTGGGGCACTTGCTGCTGTCTGCCCTCTGGGAGGTTGGGTATGGCCTCCTACGCCTCCCACCCCTAAGGTCTTCTATTTCTGCCAGGACTCAGCTCAGGCCCTAGCCCAAGGGGACTGGTCACCTGAGTGGTGGTCATGCTGGTAAAAGGCCCAGGAAGCAAGGGTGGCTCCATCTCTAACCCGGCCTTGGCCAGTGTGGGCACAGGCCTTGGGGAGCCTCCCAGCATGCCATCTCAGCGGCCGTCGGCATGGCTCGTGCTGCAGGCTCTGTTCAGGGTGATGTTTGAGGAATCCCTGGTGGTGCTGCCCACCCATGCATCCTGGGTTCCTCTTCCCCAGCTCTCGGACTGCGGCTGGCTTGAGCTTTGAGGTGAGAAAGGTAGCAGAAAAGACTGAAAATACGTCTGCTTAGGCCTCCAAATCAAGGGCAGAGAGGAGAAGGCTTCTGGACTCTGGCTAGATGAGAAGCGGTGTTTTTGTGGTGCTGGTTTGTCATTTGAGTTACTTTTCGATCCTGGCAGCACTTAGGTTCTGAGCAAGAGGCTGACTCTGCGGGATTGCCTGCTTCCTACCCAAGTCCTGGCTCTCGGGGTGGCTTGCCATTGAGAACCACTGGCCCAGAACTTCAAACCTAAAACCTGGTGAAGGTTGGCGTGCTGGCTTCCCCCAAAACAGCTGTGTGTCTTGGACACTGCATGGTCTCTTCAGGGCCCCGTGACTAAAGAGGTTGAGGAGACCTCATGCCAAGCCTGTGGGGGTGTGGGGTGCCCTGAGGCCCTGCTGGGCCTGGTGAGGGCAGACTTCCAGCTGGGCTGAGTGGCACTTTTGGGGTTGATGCCCTTGACTGTGCTTTGGAGGGTGGGCTGCTCACATGGGCCTGGGTGCTGAGCCTTCCTCTAGTGGGAAAGAGTGGCTATGGAGGGACCCCAGAGTTTGAGGGGACTGGGCACTCCAGGCTTCAAAGAGGGCTTGAAAGACCTACTGACCAAGAGCTTGGTTCCCGCGAGTTGTCAGGGGATGGGACTGGGGCGGGGGTGGGGGCATTTTCTAAGACGTGTTTATGGCCCAAGGCCCGGGGGTCAGGGCTTTTTTTCATGAGTCTGGTTGGTCCATTCAACTCCCCCTTAGCCCAGGGGAGAAGTTGGCTCACCTGGAGGCCCTGGGCATGTACAGCCTGGTGCAAGTAAGCGGCCAGGCAGAGGGCGGGGCTGCTGCGTGGTGTCCTCAGGGGCCAGGTACAAATGCCTGCTTCTGGACCATTTGCAGAGGGTCTTGGGGGTGGGGCCCCGACTTGGGTGGGACTCGGGACCCCAGGGGCAAGGGAGAGGCTTTTGCTGAAATCACAGGTCTGTGTCTGAGTCCCTTCTGAGGCTGTAGGCAGGGCCTGTGTGAGGAGCTCGCTGGGCTCTGCTGCATGATGACCATAGTCGTGGGCGTTTGTTCTGTGCCCACCAAGTGCTGGGGGCCGAGCCACACTGCTATGTATGTTGTCCATCCTGCCTCTTCAGCACATGATGAGGCCAGTCCTGCCCTCGTTGCCTTTTGTGCCAGAGGAAATTGAAGCCCAGAGAGGGAAGTGACCAGCCTAGGATCATGCTGCTGCTGACCTGTGGGCTGGAGTCTAAGCCAGCATCTGTCCTGGGAGGGCCTGGGAGGCCCTATGATGTTGTCTTGGGTTGTGGTATCCCTCTCCCTGCCTCTCCCTACCACCAGGGTCTTCCTGGCAGGTGGTGGGAAGGCATCCTGGCCCAGGCACTGCAGGAGCTGCTTCTGGGGGCGCCCAGGCTTCTGGGGGCTTGGCCCTAATATATTGAGTGGGGCACTCTCGCCTGCCCTGGCTGGTGCTGTCCATCCAAGGCTTGGTGTGCGGCCAGCACCGTGCAGAGTCCTCTGGGGCCTGGCTTCTGGTTGGGCAAATTGGGGCAGGTGCGGTCCAGCCTGGCCACTGCAGAGGCCAAGTCAATGCTGCCCTGTGGCCAGGCCTGCGTGGAGTGTTGAGGTCTTCCTCAGAAGGCCAAGAGGGGCCTGGGTGGTGGGGAGGGCTTTGGAGCATGGTGACCGCCCTGCTTTGTACACCTGGGCAGGGTGTTGGCTGGGCTTAGGCCAGCCACTTGGTATCCACCCGGAGAGTGTCCCTTGGTAGCTGGTGAGGGGCTGGTTGCATGTGGACATTGTCTTTTCCCTTCGCTGGGCCAGCAGTGCTTTGGAGTATCTTGCTGGCTCACCACGTTCCGATCTAGAGCTGAGCTGTTGGGTCCAAAGGGGCAGGGACACCACCTCCCGCCAGAGCCTATAGGCCCCCTCAGAAGGCCTAGAGCAGGAGGGCAGGGTCAGCGCTGCCTCCCTGTGGTGCCGTATCACCCGTGCCTGTGTTGGTTCTGGGGGCTCTGGGAAAGGGGGCAGGGGCTGGCCAGGGATCTCGTGTGTCCCTGCAGCCCCCAGGCTCTAAGCAGAGGCCTGCCAGGAGGGCATATGGGCAGGCTCTCTGCTCCAGAGCAGTGGGCTTTTGGGGTGGTGCTGGGAGGTAAGCAGTCACACACTTGGCAGCCTCAGTGTCCCTCAGGAGTCCCAGGACTCCATCCCTAGTCTTCCCCTCAGGCCCACACCCTGACTGGGCCCCCAGAGACAAGAGAAACCAGGTGGGTGGGGCCCAACAGGGTGTTGCTGCCACTCTGCTCAGGCAGGGGCCCCAAGGTGACTGTCGAGCTGGGCCCTGTCCAGGCAGCCTAGTACTAGAGCTAGCCACACACAGGCATGGGGCCCCCAGGCCTGGGGGGTCTTGGCGTCCTGCTGGGCTTCCTCACTGCGGGTGCTGGGCAGCCGTTGGGGCTTCACCGCACGTGGTGCCACCTGTCTCAGCCTCCCTTCCAAGGGGCACCCTGAAGTTTCCTCCTCCACGAACAAGTGGTCACATCAGCATGTGTGGCTTCCCTCTCGGCCTTGGCACACAGTATGATCCTCTCCCTGGGGTTCTGGTGTGGCAAAGCTGGGCCTCTGTTGAGTCAGGCCCTTGGCAGGGGCTGTGAAAGGGGGTGTGACCATGGCCCCTGGTTTGTGCCTGTGGCGTCTGTATCCCCCTCCGCTCCTGTCCACTCACTGCATCTCTGGCTTCTCCACTGATCCCTAGGAGTGGACAGACTGCTTTTCCACCCTGCTCTTCCTGTGGGCAGGCCTCACCTCATCCTGATCATTCCTGGGACCAGCCTCACTCCCTACCCCCAGCCAGCCCTTGTGCCCAGAACTGGCGCTGGCCCGCCCCTGCCAGACCCTGTTCCTCCACTGTGAGTCCAGCCAACTCCCCTTCATCTTGCACATTTAATTTTTGACCTGACTTAGAAACTGAGATTTGAGTGCAGATAATCTGTGGTGTTTGTGTCAACATGGATTCTGTGCATGAGGCCTTTGTCCCCAGCTCACCTGCCCCCACTGTCAGTCCTCAGCATGTAGCTCCCATCACTCACTAGAGCCCAGGCCCAGCCCACAGGTACTCAGAGCTCGCTCAGCCTCCTGCAGTTCCTCAGCTCATGGTGTACAGATGCCTGAAGTGATGGGATGGCAGCTAGTGTCTACTGAGGACTTCATGTTGGTGAGCGTGGCCAGGCAGTGACTCTGTCTGCCTCCACCCCACTGCATCTCACTATGAAAAGGGTCCTGGACCCCAAGGGACCCGTGTTGCTCAGTGGCTTTCTGGAGGCTTGCCATGGATGGCGGGCCCAGGCCAGCCACTGGAGAGGCGTGTGAAAGTGCTGCCTGCTTTTTCATCCTCAGCTAGCTGTGGGGGAGTCTCCCCAAATGGAAATCCAGCTAGTCCTTGGTGGGCCCCCAATGGAAAGCTGAGCCCAAGGCCCGCACACCCCTACCTCCCAGCATTCCCTGGGCTCTGTGAGACCACCACACCTGCCCCTCATCTGTACCAGCCCCATGGGCCAGGCCTGAGGGGAGCTGTGTCTGCCCCAAGAGGACACTCAGTCCAAGTCTTAGCTCTTGTACCTCTTGGTTTCTGTGTGGGTTTCTCCTCCCCCAACACTGTAAGCCCCTGGAGGACCCAGCCCACAGCCTACCATATATCTCTCCATGGCACTAAGTGGGTGCTAAGGAGGTGTGTGTGGAGCTAGTGAGAGACCCAAGATAGGAGTTGAGGTGGCAACCCACTGTCCACACATGGAAGGACCACCAGCAAGAGAGGCAGGTTGCTGACAGGCAGCTTCCGGGTCTCAGATCTGCAGGTTCAGAAAGGGAAGGGACCTATTGGCTCCTGTTGACCCAACCCAGCAACATGTCCCACTTGCAGCCCCTGTTCCCGCCTCCCCCAGGCACACATTGTACCCACACACCCTTGTCACAAGCCAACTTGGCTTTTCCCCCAGCCACAGCTGTGTGCCATCAGCTCTTGGGAAGGCCCCCACAGGTAGCTAGCTCCACTGGGTGGGTGGCAACTGCCCTCTCACTTGTGCTGGCCAAGGAGGGCTGGAGGGGTTATGCTGGGGGTGGATTTGAGCCAGGTCCCCAGCCCCCAGCCTGAATGGCCCTTGTGAAGGCCAGGGAGAGGGTGCTCCTGCCTTGGCACGAGGAGCAGTGTCTCCTGCCCCACTCAACACCCGATGGCTAAGTGCCACTGCTGTGCTTGGCCAAGAGCCCGCTTTCCTGCAGGCATCCTGAAATCAGGGCCTGTAGGGACTCTTGGGAGAAGCCCTGGCCCCTGGCGGGGGACAAGGCCAGGATCCAAGCCCCTATGTGGCCAGACCAATCACCAGCAGGCCTGCCTCAGTGGAGAGCCATAATCTGCAAGTTGATGAGGGCCACCCTTGAGACACCCACTTCTTCACAGGGGCCCAGTTGGCTGTATTCTTGTAGTGCTCCAGGAAAAAGGCTTTTCCCTCCTGAGCAGCAGCCCTCTGTGTTTGCTAAACAACAGCATGCCTGTACCTCTCCTTGCCAGCAGCCCCTCCTACAGCTGGAGTCCCTCAGGATGGCCGCTGGCTTGGCCTTAGCTGGAGGGGGTGGGGCGGGGCGGGGCAGAGCAGGCAGGCGCAAGCGTGTGTGCAAGTCCCGCAGGTCTGTGAGCTTCATCTCCCTTTCCTTCTTCGCAGTGTACTAACGGTCACTTGATGTGCGCTGGCTGTTTTATCCACCTACTAGCAGATGCCCGGCTGAAGGAGGAGCAGGCCACATGCCCCAACTGTCGATGTGAGATCAGTAAGAGCCTCTGCTGCCGCAACCTGGCTGTGGAGAAAGCCGTGAGCGAGCTGCCCTCCGAGTGTGGCTTCTGCCTGCGCCAGTTTCCCCGCTCCCTTCTGGAGAGGCATCAAAAAGAGGAGTGCCAGGACAGGTAACCACCTGTCTGGCCCTCCTGCCACAGGCTTGGCCACACGTGCAGGGCCCAGCACAGGGCTGGAGACCACTCTGGTGTGGGTGAGACCCAAGTGTGCGGGATACTCTGGCTGGTCCTTGTTGCCCAGACCTCAGGTTCCGCACACGCAGCCCACCGACCACCTTTTAGGGCTGGGCCAACGTGAAGCTGCTCAGGGCCCAGGCCCTGGAGGGGGGTGGCCCCACAGAGGGCAGGGGGCTTGGATTTGTACCCAGTGTCCATCTGGTAATCATCCTGGCTCTGCAGGGTTCTCTTTGACTGTGTGGTGCTTCTTTGAGGCTGTCCTTGGCATCCCTGAGCCCAGGAAAGCATGGCCAACTCAGGAGCTGTGGGAGCTCTCTGTGAGGGTACGATGGCACCCCAACCCAGCCCTGGCTGGTTCACACTGTCGCCTGCTGTGGGGCCAGGCCACTGAGCCTCACCTGGAGTGAAGCTGTGTAGGGTCCGGGACCGTGATCAGTGGCCACTATTGCCAAGCATTAGAGAGACCCCCTAGCAGTGGGTGTAGGTGGCATGTGCATTCACAGTCCGAATGTGCTCCTCTTCTCTCTGACTTTCACACATGCTCTGATCCCTTCCAGGGAGCCCACACACAGCGAGTGTGTCCTTCAGAGAGTGGCTCATATATGAGCAAGGCTGGGCAGAGGCCCACCTTTGGAGGACTACTGGGCACAGCCACCTCCCCAGGGCGCAGGCTGTGACCATGGTGCTCACCTCCTCTCCAGGGTGACCCAGTGCAAGTACAAGCGCATCGGCTGCCCATGGCACGGCCCCTTCCATGAGCTGACAGTGCACGAGGCTGCATGTGCCCACCCAACCAAGACGGGCAACGAGCTGATGGAGATCCTGGACGAGATGGATCAGAGCCATCGCAGGGAGATGCAGCTCTACAACAGCGTCTTCAGCCTGCTCAGCTTTGAGAAGATCGGCTACACAGGTGAGGCCCTGCCCACCGCACGCAGCCCACTGCACGCCACTCAGCTGAGGGGCCAGGAAAGCAGCAGGCTTTGGGCAGTGGGCACAGGTCGCGCCGGTTGCTGGGCTCTGGACAAGCTCCTGGCCATGGAAGGATCCCTCTGGGGGAGAACACAGGCTGGAGGCCAAGCAGGGAAGGGGCTGGGGCAGGACTCCAGGGGTACCTGCATGGCTCTCACAGAGGCCCCTCCCACCTGTCCTTTTCACCCCATCCCCGCCCGCCCCCCTCCCCCCCCCCCGCCAGCTAGCAGTGTCCTCACTGCATGGGGCTGCACAGCCCTGGGACAGTTGGGGTCTAACCAGAAAGTGGGTGTGTCTTGGGGGGCCCAGGAGCTGGGGGCCTGCCCTGCAGAGCCAGGGGCAAGAAGAACACTTGTCACGTCGGGTCCTACCTGCGGGAGGTCACTGCAGTGGCCACAGGCCTCCTAAGGCCAGCAAGAAGATGCTCAGGGCCAGGGCTCCAGAATGAGCGAGGGTGCCCAGCTCAGAATGCAGAGCTGAGAGTGGACGTCTAGGGCCGGGCAGGCTGGACCACGCCCAGGCCCACTGGATCTCATGGGCTCTCCAGGCTACTGCTACTGCCTTTGGACGTGCTGGGGAGCAGGAGCCAGGCCAGAGCCTGGTCCATACACAGAGAACAGCCAGAAGTACCTGCTGATGCTGGGGCCATTCAGGGAGACTCCAGCCCTCTACTACCCAGCCCATACCAGGCGGCCAGCTCAGAGCATCAAGGGCGGTCATGGGCAGCCAAGTCACACTGCCTGGACTGGGCCTGGCTAGGTGTGGGCCTGCATGGGCCTGAGAGGCTGAGGGCCCAGGGGCCTCAGCAGCAGAAGGCCGCGGCCCCTGGTTAATTGCAGCTTCAGCCACCCTGGTGGGCGCCATGGCACAAACAGTCCAAGTCAGGCCTCAAGGGTCCAGGCAGGCCAAGGTGTTGTGACTGCGGCGGTGGTGGGCAGGGAGCCCTGTCCACTCAGGAAGGACTGGCCGCCTCCGTGGAGGGACTTGCCAGCCACAGGCCACGGGCTATGCTGAGAGGACTGTGTGACGGCAGTCACCCATTGACTGATGGGCCCTGCAGATGGCTGGCAGAGCCCAGCACTGGGCCACACGCTGGTGCTCTGCCTCACAGCCCAACGCAGGCTCCAGTGCCATGTGCCAGCCTGCCCGCCGGCTTTTCTGGCAGCTCTGTATGGGAACCAATAAAGTGCACTTGTTCTCAGAACTGCATCCTGTCTGTGTGTCTGCTTACCCACGCCCCTGGGGCAGGGCCTCTCCCTCTGCCTGGGTCGGGCCCTGGGGAAGGGCGAGGGGGGAGGCCAGTGGGGGTTGGGGCTGGCCACTCACTTCCCTCAGCCTCTGGGCTCCCTGCAGCTAATGCGTGTTACTTCTGTTTATAGTTGTTTCCCCAAAGCTTGTGTACGCCTCCATTTGCCATAATTGCGTTTGATTTGCCTTGTGACAAGTAGAGCACGCTGTGTCCTGGTAAGTTGCCTTCCTCCCTGGCTGAGCCTGTGTCCTCGGCTGGCCGGTAGGGAAGGCGCCGCCACGCGGCCCCGCCCACACTGACTGCCGGCTCTTCCCGGCCTGTCTGTCTCCACAGAGGTCCAGTTCCGGCCGTACCGCACCGACGACTTCATCACGCGCCTGTACTATGAGACGCCGAGGTTCACAGTGCTGAACCAGACGTGGGTTCTGAAGGCGCGCGTGAATGACTCAGAGCGCAACCCCAACCTGTCCTGCAAGCGCACGCTCTCCTTCCAGCTCCTCCTCAAGAGCAAGGTCACGGCACCCCTAGAGTGCTCCTTCCTGCTGCTCAAGGGCCCTTACGACGACGTGAAGATCAGCCCCGTCATCTACCACTTCGTCTTCACCAACGAGAGCAACGAGACGGACTACGTGCCGCTGCCCATCGTCGACTCCGTGGAGTGCAACAAGCTGCTGGCCGCCAAGAACATCAACCTGCGGCTCTTCCTGTTCCAGATACAGAAGTAGGCGGCACTGCTGTGCTGCCCACACCTGCCTGGCAGTGGCTTCACAGTGCTCTCTGACCATTTTAGTAAAGGAGGAAGGAACAGAAGCGAATGTTGGGAAAGTCTGCATGTGTGTGCGACAGTGTGAGCGCTCTGCCTTGCCCTCCGCCGGCCCTCCGCCCCGCCTCCCCTATCCTGGCGCCTAGGCTGGGCCACCTGCAGAGGAGACGGCGGCTCAGGGAGCCCCCAGCGCGCAGCGAGGTGCACGACCCGCTCTGGGCCGGGCTCAGGCGAGCTGACTTCAGACGGCATATTTGATTGCAATTAAAAAGGCACCTTGTTTGCTACTTTCTGTTTTGTTCAAGGGGAAGGCATGGCTGTGATTGGACAGCGTGGGAGCTTTGGTTTGGCCTCTGGGTCAGAGCCTACCCATCCCTGTTACTGCATCTCAATATGCCCCCAGGAGAGACTTGGAGATGCTGCCCCCTCTGTCCTGCTCCCTACAGGCCTGGTCAGGGGGCGGGCAGGCTTGGGGGTCTTGCAGCAGTCCCAGCGCACCCCCCAGCCACTCCAGGGAGGCAGGACTTGGCCACCAGGGCTCAGCAGACATTTCGGAATGCAGGGTGAAATTCTGTCTCTTCCTAGGAAAAAAATTAAACTCTTTACAGGCTCTTCTATAAGGTATACAAATTTAGAGAGAGAATCTATTTTCTGTATTCAGCCTGGAGGGTGCAGCGTCCCCAGGCTGTGAGGAAGGCTCTGGGGGCCGCTGGTGGTGAGTGAGCCTGGCTGGGTGAGGGGCCGAGTGGGCCAGCCACCCCATGCTGTTCTCAGGGACCAGCTGCTGGCCCTGCATCCTGGGGTCTGCTGCAGAGGTCAGTGCTTGGAGAGGCTGGTTTCTCACCTGAGGGAGGCAGGCTCTTTCCAGCCTTGACTTTGCAGCCCTGGCCCCAGGACTGCAGTGAGCAGGCCTGATGTGTGGGCCTCACAGGGTGGGAAGGAGCCTTGCCTGGAGAACCCCAGATCCCTTGGAGCTACTGGGAAGGGGAGAGCTTAGCCACCACCCCCCTTGCTTAGGAGACGTGGCTCTTCTGTGATAGTTTTTCATTGCTTCAATACCAAAGAACCGTTTCCTTTGTCCATGTCCAGGCCCACCCCATGCCTCAGAGCAGGCCCCCCCCGCCCCCCACTGCCAGCCTGGTCCCCCAGTGCCCGGACGCTGTAAAATCGGCGGGCAGGGCAGCCCTGGCAGCAAGAGTGCAGAGGTGCAGGCCTGGCCTCTCTGAGGGTTCCTTCTACTGGCCCTCAAGTCAGGGGCTGAGAAGTGGGGGGAAGGAGCTGTGAGGTAGAGCAGGAGCCTCACCCCAGATTCTAGTGGCCAAGACAGCCCTCTGAGTCAGTTCTACCCCAGGGCGGCTCCCCAAGTTCTTCCGAGAAGCCTGTTTAGCTTTCTGTTCCCAGCCCAGGGCACGGGGCTTGCAAGGGATCCCCCTCCTGCAGGGTCAACTCTGCCTGGCCACTGAGGGGATCTGGAGGTGCTATGCTTAGTTCTCTGCTCTCTACAAAGAAAGACCCTAGCCCAGCCCCCAGCACACCGTTGGGGGCAGCGATCTCCGACTTGGGCACAGCCTGGCGGGAGTCCCACTGCCCTCAGGTCTGCCCCCAGCTGGCGGGCACAGAGGATGACATTCAGGTAGACACGTATGGGGCCTTGTATGTAGAGGATGGCACGTGTCACTGCATCTCCGTGTCTCAGGAACTGACATCTATGTAGAGTTTCTGGATTTCAAAGTGACCATGTTGCAAGGAGAGCCGGGAGAGGGGCAGGCTTGCCCAGACACGTGCGTTTGGGTGCTTGTGTGAGAGACTGAGTCAGCAAAAGGTTGGGCCCCTGGCGGCTCTCTTGGGGTGGGGCAGGGTGGGAGGTAGCAGATCTCTGTGCAAGTGAAGGTATGTGGCTGCCCAAGGGGGCTGGGCAGGGGACCACAAGGAGGGAGAAACCAGGGCCAGCTAAGCCCCCTCAGCCCTGTCTCCTCAGCCCTGGGGCTAGCAGCCCTGCATTTGTGGGGCCGGGGGCAGGAGGGGCTGGGCTCTGTGGCACGAGGGTCAGCTATGTGCCAGGGGCGCACAGCCCACTACTTCCAGCAGCCCAAGGGCATGTGTTGGAGTGGGGTGGCACCCAGGTGAGGCCCTTCCTCTAGGAGTGTGGGTGTGTGTTTGGGGGTGCCTGAGAGGACTGCCAATACATCCCAGCATCGCCATCCCCAGCAAGGCCCCCACCCTTTGACGGTCACCTCAGCAGCTGAGCCTTACAATCTGGCGGAGCCAGGCATCCTGGGAAGTTGTAGTGCACCTCCATCACCACTGGGGGCTGGCGCCACAAACCTTTGCAGCATCTCACTTTGGGTCATTGATTTACTGGGTGATGTCCCATCAGTGTTGTTAGAAAGAAGATAGCAGTGGTCTGTCTCCATGACCCATGCCATCTTGGCATCCTGACCTGGAGAAAGTGGGGCTTCACTCTCAGCAGATGTTGGGGGAGGCCTGGTGGCACAAGCCAAGCCAGGTTTCCTCTCCTCACCCCCACTCCCCTGTGAGCACTACATCCCTCAGTTCACCCAAAATGAGACATTTACAAAACTAATAAAAATAATTTTTTAAAGAGCAGAGCAAGAGGTGTTTTTACCACCGTCAGAAATGACACACATCACTTTTGTGGTCTGCGTTCTCTGGATATTTTCTGTATGTAACTACAGTTTTAAAAAAGTTCCAAACCATGTTTTGTCTGTGTTTCCTTATGAGAAGACAGCCTCATGGATGGGCTTTCCTGGGCTCTGCTAGCCATTCGGCCAGGGGTCAGCTGCCGCCCCTGCTGGCCCCCAGCCTGTGGCCTCCCCACCCTAAGCCTCCAGCCACTGGCTGGGCACCACCTCATATACACATCCCTGTCTGATCAGTGGGGAAACAGGCATACAGAAGTTGGGTGCTCTCTGAAGGGGAAGAGGGCCCCCAGGACCTGGGCTGGCCTTTGAATGCTGGTGCTGGAGAGGGAGCCTGGTCACTCTTCACAGCAGCTCTGGAGAGGCTCCCTCCGCTGTTCAGCCGAGCCAGACTGTGCTTCCGTGGCCTTGCTCCCCTACCCCGCCTCCACCCTCGCCCCTCGCCGTGCCCGGCACACCTCACCAGCAGCCTTCCCGCCAAACGGCCGCCTTGGCTTCAGTGCCTCCCTGTCCTGCGCTCCAAGCCCCGGGCCCGACTAGGGGCCCAGCAGAGCACCTCACCCTCCAAGAGAAGAGGACGGCCACCCCGCTCCAACTGCCCACCTCCTGCAGCTCTTGGGGTTTGGCCTTGCCCCGCCCCTGCGGCCGGGCACTGGCCCAGGGCAGCATTCCCTGGACCCATGGACCCATCCGCCGCCGCATCACTCCATCTCCAACACTCTGGCTGTGCATCCACTGGCTGAGTTTACCCCATTGGTCTGTTTCTATTTCCCTAGAAAATAAGCGCGTCCATCTCCCTCCCACTGTTTCCAGCCTCCTCCGAGGCCTTTGGACGCGGGCCGTGGCAGCGGGGCCTGACGGTGCGGCCGGGGTGCACGACATCTGCCAGGTTCCGCAGGTGAGTGGTCTGCACTACGGCGCCCCGAGCCTAGCTCCAGCCCCTCCGCCAGCAGCGCCGGGCTCGACTCCAAGAGGCGCCGGCCGCCGAGCTATTGGGTTCGGCGGTTCCGTGGGAGGGGCGCAACTGGTCCCGCCTCCTCTTCCATGAGGGCGGTGCGTTCCGCAGGTAAAGTGGCACGAGCAGGTAGGTTTCGGGCGGGGGGCGCGGGTGATCAGCGGCAGCACGGGGCGGGAGCCCAGGAGATCCCCCTAGAGCGGCTGCGGGGCCGGGGCGGGGGGACTCAGCTCCGGCAGCGGCCCCCGGAGTTTGGGGAGGCGGGCGCCAGCCAGACTACAGCTCCCAGGATGCTTCGGGCGGATGGACTACACTTCCCGGGATGCTCCACACTTCCCGGGATGCTCCGCGGCCTGCGGGGACGGGACTGAGCCTGCGCGCGGAGCCTGGGGCGGGGCCGCGGCAGCGGCCCGGGAGCGCGGGAAGTCCGGATCCCCGCGCGCGGAGTCCGGAGCATGAGCCTGGAGCGTGAGCTTCGCCGTGAGTCCTTAAGCCCAGCGCGGAGGCCGGGAACGGGCCTGGCCCCCCAGATGGAGGGGCTCAGCGTCCTGGCCTCGTCCGTCTCTCTGCAGAGCTATACAAGGGCAAGACCAAGGCCCAGAGGAGCGGGCAGCTGCGAGAGGAGGCCGCCCTCTGCCACCAGCTGGGGGAGCTCCTGGCCAGCCATGGTACGTGCTCCGCGCCAGGCCCGGGGTGGAGGCCGGGGCTGGGGGCCGGGGCAGCGAGCGGGGGAGCCGGGAGGGAAAGGGAGGCCGGGGGGCCGGAGGAGGTGCCGGGAGGGACGGAGGACGGAGGCGGGAGAGACGGGGGAGGAGGCAAGGGCCTGGGGGGCCGGAGGGTCCGGGAGGGACAGAGGATCGGGAGCCTTGCTGAGCACGCCGCCCGGGCCTGGCCGCCGCCCCGCTCGCCCTCGCGGCCCTTGGCCTACTGCCCTGCCCTCCCGCCTGCTCAGGCCGCTACGCGGAGGCCCTGCGGGAGCACCAGCAGGAGTTGCAGCTCCTGGAGAGCGCCAACGACCCCCTGGGCTGCGCTGTGGCCCACCGCAAGATCGGAGAGCGGCTGGCAGAGATGGAGGACTACTCCGCTGCCCTGCAGGTGGGCGGTGCCCCCCCCCAGCACCCACTCTGGCCACACCCCGCCCTGCTGGGCCACACTTTGTAGGGGTCTCTTTCTCAAGAAGGAGGCACAGTGTCCACTGTCCAGGCCTTTGGCCAGAGGGGGATACTGTGCAATGCAGCCTCACCTTCAGAGGGCTGTGGGCCAAGGAATGGTAGGCTGCTCCTTGAGTGGAAACACACAGCCTCTCTTGGGAGCCTGGCCCCAGGAACCATTAAGGAAAATATTACTTGAGCAGTGTTTGTGGGCTGGCTGGAGGTTCAGGACCTGTCCACACAGAGCCGGCCCTGCAGCAGCTCAGCTAACTCCCACTCATTGTTCCTTCCCTGTAATGACATTGGTTGACTAGAGTGTGGAGCTGTTGTCCCCACAGGCAGCCCTTGGCATAGAGGAGATGGGGTGTGCATAGTTTGGCTTTGGCGTGCTCTGTGGAGGTTTCAAGGAGCAGAGGGTTCTCCTGAGCAAGAGTAGGGACCCCCTAGAGTTGGGGGACCGGGGGGGTGGGGCGGAGGTATGGTTCACAGCAGCCATCCCTCTGTACCCCAGCATCAGCACCACTACCTGGAGCTAGCCCGTTCCCTGTCTAACCACATCGAGCTGCAGAGGGCGTGGGCCACCATTGGCCGCACCCACCTGGACATCTATGACCACTGCCAGTCACAGGATGCGTTGCTGCAGGCACAGACTGCCTTTGGGAAGAGCTTGGCTATTGTGGACGAGAAGCTGCAGGGTGAGTGCCCTCGGGGGCCTGGCCATCCCCACCTTCTGCCCCCTGAACTGCAGGCAGGGGAAGCTTTAGCCCCACTGCCCATCGTGCCAGCATGGCAGGGTCCACCTGCCTGAGTCCTCCCTTTGTGAGGCTGAGATCTGTCCCTAGGAGCGCCCCCATGAGGGGATGCACGGCCTGTGCTCACTGCAGCCTGGCAGCTGGCAATTGTCTGCTCTTTGTGCCTGCACACTCTGCCTGCAGCAGGATCCCGGGCACCCACAGTGAGAGGTGGGAAGAGGGGTGGGGGAGAGACTGGACAGGCCTTGGACGGGGCCCCAAGCTGGAGACCCCAAGTGGGGATGAGGCACTGAGTGTCTGGAGAGGGCATCTTCCAGGGACATTGCCCAAGCGAGAACTGAGTGAGATGAGGACCCGACTCTATCTCAATCTGGGCCTCACCTTCGAGAGCCTGCAGCAGATGGCCCTGTGCAACGACTACTTCAAGAAGAGCATCTTTCTCGCTGAGTAAGACCCCCCCCACTCAGCCCCAGGAGGGAGGTGAACCCCCTGTTCCTGGTGGAAGTAGCTGGGGGATGGGCAGCTGAAAGGGCAGGCTGGCTGGACCTCACCCCTGCCCCGTCCGTTTCCCATTAGCAGAGGAGCCCTGGCACGTGTGTGTGTGCCATGTGCTGAGGGAAGAACAGGCTTGGCGTGGCAGAGCTAGAATCCCAAGTGGCATCAGCAGCTGCTTGTCAGTGCTTCAGGTGCCACTGTGCTGTCCCAAAGTAAGAGTGCCGTGGGCACTCTGAGCACCTGTCACCATCCGCAGGCAGAACCACCTCTACGAGGACCTATTCCGCGCCCGCTACAACCTGGGTGCCATCCACTGGCGCAGAGGGCAGCACTCCCAGGCCATGCGCTGCCTGGAGGGGGCCCGGGAGTGCGCACGCATCATGAAGAAGGAGTTCATGGAAAGCGAATGCTGCCTGCTCCTCTCACAGGTGCTAGTTCTCAGTGGCTCTGGGCTCAGCCCCTGGGAGGCCTTGGGCCTTGGGGAGTCTGCAAGCCTCACCTTCCCTTGTCCCCCAGGTCCTCCAAGACCTGGGGGATTTCTTGGCTGCTAAAAGAGCCCTGAAGAAGGCCTACAGGCTGGGCTCCCAGAAGCCTTTGCAGAAGGCAGTGATCTGCCGGACTCTCAAGCATGGTGAGTCTGGAAGGGATCCCAAGAGGCTGAAGCCGCATGGGAAGGGGTAGAGAGGGCTCCCCTCCCTCAGTAGAGGAGGCCTCAGCACATGTCCTTGGGGAGATGGCAGCATCAATATGGACATGTTGCTGCCCCTCCCCTACTTACTGTTGGGAGGAGAGCCCCACTTCTCTGAGTCAAAACCTAGCCTGTTGGAGGGACACTTGGGGGTGGTCCGGAGACTGGCTGGGTGTTTAGGTGTGAGCCAGCATCTCCACTGGCCAGCTGGAGGCAGAAATCATCCCTGTCTACTGAGGATGGAGTGGACAGTGCCCGCAGCCAGGAGGACTGACGAGTGGCAGTCAACAGTGTTCCCCTCTGCTGCAAGCCAGGCACTGCTCAAGTTATTTGTTAGTTCTAATCCTCGCGGTCCTGCAAGATAGATTCTCCTATACCCCCTCTTACCAGTGTGTGAGCAGAGGCCTGGACAGGGTGGGTGGCTGCCTAAGGGCACACGGCTAACAGGTGGCAGAGCTGGGTTGGAGCCCCACGCTCTGCCGCCCCCTTGCACGAGGCTCTTACTGGCAGTGCTGGCAGTGGTCCAGCTGCAGCAGCGGCTGGAGGAGGCTGAGGGCAGTGACCCTCAAGGCGCCATGGGCATCTGTGAGCAGCTGGGGGACCTATTTTCCAAGGCAGGCGACTTCCCCAAGGCGGCCAAGGCCTACGAGAAGCAGGTGCACACCCCTGGCTAGGGTGGGAGGAGAGGGGCGACAACACTCAGGGCTGGCAAGGTGTAGGGCGGCCCTGGCCTCACTGTCACTGCCTCCCAGCTACATTTCGCAGAGCTGCTAAACAGGCCAGGGCCTGAGCTGGCTGTCATCCACGTGTCCCTGGCTGCCACCTTGGGAGACATGAAGGACCACCGCCGGGCTGTGTACCACTATGAGGAGGAATTGAGATTGCGTGACGGCAATGCCCTGGAG